GCACGCTGCCTCAGTGCACAATTCTACTGCACAAAACTCCCTCCCCCCCTTTTTGCACTTTCCTCCTAATTGAAGGTGAGTTCCTTGAGAACAACAAATATCATTTGCCGCTTTATCCCTATCATCTAGCTTAATACTTTACTTGTGGTAGGCATTGAAATATTAGCTAAATGTTTGATTAGGAGCTAAATTTGTCTGGAGTTAAACATTTGCATAAGCAGCAGCAATAAACAAAAAGGAAATAACATGCTAGGGTAAGGCTGTGGAAGGTCACATAGTCTGAGGAATATGCACTTTATTCAAAAGGTAGTAATGGACATTTTGAGAAGAGAAGACTGCCTTAATACTGATCACTGAAAAAAATCTTTTGTCTACAAAGGCAAGTTTTTCTCCCCAAACTAAAGTAGATTAGAATATATGAAGATTTTTGTACTTGTTATAAGAGATGTTTAATTCTTTGAAACATACTTTCCATTCTCTTTTTCTGGTTGTCTCTGTCAATTCTGAGAATTCTTAAGATTAAATAACTAACTTGCCAAAATATGAGGGTACCTCAAAAGTATGTAGAAAAATATAATTAAAAGATAATACGAATCTTTCCATGAACTTTTTGAAGCACCCTCATAAGTTAGAGGTCCAGTTATTTCAGTTCCTAGACCATTGCTGAATTCATATTTGACAAGGATAAAAATTTGCCATTTAGAATGGATCCAAACCAATTAAATCAATACACATCTTCAGGCTAAAGCTATAAAGTTTTGAATCTATTTTTTTTTTCCTTTTTGTCTTTTTTCGTGGCCGGCAACGGATCGTAACCCTCAGTGTCGCGCCCGTACTGGACTGGGACCAGCAACAGGATTCCAACCCTTGGTGTTGCGCCCGCACCTCGCTCAGCCAGTGAGCGGCCGGTCTGTATGTGGGATCCGAACACTCGGCGGAAGCGCTGCCGCGCTCCCAAGCGGTGCACTGTAGCAGTGCGCCACCCGGCCGGCCCTTGAATCTATTTTTAAAAAATGTTTGGAGGCATCAGCTCTGGCCCCCTCACCCTATGAATTATCTCTACACAGCTAAGCCCAACATTGCATGTCTGGATACCTAGGAGAGTACATTTAGTGCTTCTTATGTATCCTCTCACCCCTGCCAAATCTGGAGAAGCTGTGCTTTCCCCTTCAGCTGTTTACACTAGCAGGACTTAAAGTTCTGGATACCAAAGGCTGCTGGCAGTGACAAGAGATGCCACCTTTCTAAGACAAATATCCCTTTGTCATATAACTCTGATCTATATGGGACACTTCAAAAAGTTCATGGGAAAATTAGTATTATCTTTTAATTCTATTTTCCCACAAACTTTTCAAAGTACCCACTGTGTACCACTCACACTGTGGTTTGAACCTCCCCTCCAGCAAACCAGAGAATCTTCTGCCTCACTGTTTCAAATAAGTGGGAAAACACTTGTGATTCTGTTCCTAAGAGCTGCCTCGCCACAATGAATACCATTCAAATCTTCAAGCAACACTATTGGTAGAGATGATAACTGACATCAATTGGGCTTTTAAAAAAAAAAAGCATGGCAGATTCTTACTGGTTTATAAGTATTTAAGCATCCATATTCTCACTGGGTAGGTTCTAGAAGGACACATTTCTTTAGAAAAAAGGAAACTCTAGGATTATGCTGGCATGTATTCTGTGTCCTTTCTCTTCCTTTTCATTTCTGTGACTTCTAGGAAAGTTTCGTAAGCCAGTGAGAGGAACTGAAGTTTGCGAAAGATAAATAATTTTTTTTTAAGTCTTCAAAACACTTGTGCTGATGTAAAATGGGGGCAATAAAAAATCTTAGGAAACAAAAGAATTGCTGCCAGTGAGAAGGAAAAAGAAAAGACAAGGAATGAGAGATGAGAAGAGTAGGGGAAGGTTCAAAGAACCAGAAATTCAAAGGCAAAAAGGGAGGGGAAATTCAATCAGGCAAGTAGTTTTGTAAAAATTACTTTATAAACTAGAAATCATCTCTGTGGCCAATTATCCTATAGTTACTTTCACCTCATTGAATAAAACTGATTATATCAACCTAATCAGTATGAAAACGCAATACTTTTAATATTTTAAAGAAATATCCAAGCATTAAAATATGACTATAAACATACCCTTCTGCGCCTGTCTCTGACACACACAACCAAACAGTACAAAAACAAGGAAGACAGTCTTGTATACAACCATAGGAAAAGTTTAATCGTTAGTTTTCTTCTAAACTTATACTTTTCTGGATTTTATCACCACCTCTCCACAATCTAACAATAACAAAATTAATGGAAAGTGAAATTCAACAATGCTACCAAGAGTATGATTCTACTGTCATAGGAACAGAAGGATGGAATACAATGCAGTTTAAACAGAGTTCTTTGAAAAAAAAAAAATTGAAGCTTACAAAAGTGAAAACCTAATCAGTTATTAGGACTAAGACATTGTACCCAAATTAGTTCCATGAAGACATATCATCTAGCAGTTCTACAAGTGAGGAAGTACTGTTAATCTTTCACTAGGCATTCATTAGAGAAACCCAAACAGCTGAAGTTCTAGGACTGAATCTCATAAAAAAAAAGACAATGAGTATTTTGCTACTGCAAAGTAAGCCACTGTATTTAACTGCATTATACAGAGGCAATACGAATATAAGAGAAAGTGTATAAATGCCGTGGACAAATTTTCACTCCTGGGGCAAAAGCAAGAAATATCAGTAACACAATACAAAAAACACTAGCACAAACTGGTGGTTCTTTTGACAGAAGAATGATGCAACAGCAGAGACAGTTTTAAGAACTACAATAGTTAAAGTTTAGGTTGCAGTACTAAATGCGTTAATTAGTAATAAATCAAACTCATAGCAAAACAAAATTCACTTCCATGTTTTACTAATACTTACAGATTTATCTGGAGAATGTCAATGTTGCTGAACTTAACCAACTTTAGTTGTTAAATATTCATTTTTAATTAACTACTAAAGGAATCTCTTGGACTATCTATACTGTCAGTATTATTAGATCTGATGAAAGATGTCTGAGGTAGAATCATTCCCTTTAACAAGGAGATAAATTCAACAATAATCTTTTTGTATCCCTTCCAATACTGTGAGGTTATACCTTTGGAAAACTTAAAATAGGGAGTAGATCTGTGAGTAAATAATCTACAATGACTTACCAATTAACAGTACAACTATTTCACTGAATGAATCCTTCAGTTCCAGAAGTTCTGCTATATTCTTTTTTAAGGTATTAATCTCTGTAAATTTCCTCCTTCATATCTTGGATATTTTTTCTTGTTTCATTGTGTTGTCTCAGTCTTATCTCACTGAGTTTCCTTAAGGTTACTTGGAATTCCTTTTCAGTCATTTCAAGGGTTTCCTCTTTGAGGAATTTTTTTTTTTTTGGCAGCTGGCTGGTGCGGGGAACTGAACCCTGGACCTCGGTGTTATATGGCCACGCTCTAACCAACAGAGCTAACCATCTAGCCCCAAGTTTCCTGTTCTGTAGGGTCTGGTACTTGAGAATTACTATATCCCTTTAGTGGTGTCATATTTTCTTGTTTTTTCATATTTCTAGTATCTCTACGTTGACTTCTGGTCTTCTGGTAGGTCAGTTGCTTCTTCTATTACTCTGGAGTGGACTTTGTGGAAAAAGACTTCTTTTTCCAGGCTCCTCTAGTGACTCTCCTTGTGTCAATGCAGTTGGATATATGGCAGGCTGCCTCCATGGTGGTTGCGGCTGCTGTGGTGGCAAGCTGTCCTTGTAGCAGTAGAAGCTGCGGTGGTGGCAGCGTGGACCACCTCTGGGGAAGCAGAGTGGGGCCTCCTGGTCATGGCAGTGCTCACTCCTGCCTTCTGTGCAGGCAGGGGGAGGGCTGCCAGTAGTACAACTAAATATAGCTAATTGGAAAATGTTTGGCTGTCTGAATTATGTTAACTCATACAACTCTGCTACTAAAGCAACATAAAATGGCATTTATCTCCTCAGCTTTTCTGAAGCTGCCTAATCCAAGAAACAATATATAAACACACACACACACACACACACAGACACTAATAAGGAAATATGGGGAGCAGGTTACTGAAAATTGAGGCAGATAGGCTAGACTCAAGGGCCTCATGAACATTTGTAATTGTTTGCCTAGGAACAGGTAGAATACTAGGACAATTTTATTCATATCCTAAAGTCCCAACAGATCTATTATCAATAGACTTGAGCTCTGGATGAAATATGCCAAAAACCACCAAATTTTTGTCCTATAGACTGCATTTCAGTGAGCCTTCACATATGCCCAAAGCATGATTAAGCAAAGGTAAAAAAATTTTTTACGTAACAGGAGCAAAGAATTGCACAAATGTAAATAACTTCTGAAGGATACAAAATGTCTGCCATTCAGGTCTCAGCTCAAATGTTACTTCCTCAGAGGTCTTCCTTGACAACCCACCCAGAAAATTGCTCTATCACTCTTATTTTCCTGACACCATTCCCTGAAATATCTTGTTCATTCACCTAATAACTTGCTTGCTCTCTCACTCTAGAATTAAGGTTCTATGAGAACAGGGATCCTATATGTCTTGCTCACCACTTATTTCTAGCAGATGCTTGGCACAATTATTTGATGAATAAATGAATTTCTCAGTGTACATGATAGATCAAAATATACCAAGAAACAGAAAAGCAGTCTCTCTTTCTCTCTCTAAACACATACACGGACATAAACATACATGTCTACAAACACAGACATCTGGACTACAAAATAGGTGTTTTTAATTTTTTTAAGGTATGTTATTCTATGTGAGAGGTAGAATATTTTGTTGCTTTAATGTAAGTAATATATATTACAGTAAAAATTACATAAGCTTACTAAAATTGAAGAGTTCTGATGGGAAAACAATATTTTTGAGAAAATAATCGAAAAAGTAATCATAAAAGACTACATATATCACACAACTTTTATATCGGTTAAAAATAATCAGATGAAACAACTTTGAACATGGTCATTTATTTTATGCAGTTGTTTAAATCTTATGTTTAAAAATGTTCAAAAGGCACTTTAAAAACATATTTAAAAATACATTTTCCTGACTTAATGGTGATCACTTAAAATAAGCAAGTCACCAGACATTTTTAAACCATTCATGACACTATTAACCTTAAATAATTTTTAAATTCCAAAACACAAACATTCTCTATGTAATACAACACACTGCTTAGCAGTAAGATTAGTTCCCCTCTAATAATACACTTCATGTAGATTATTAATTTAGCAGGGCCCTGCAAAATTATTCAAACTTAACTAATATAAACTGAAAACTAGAGAGGTAAGGGAGTTGAAATACAGCACAATTCGACTCTAAAATTAGTTTTAGAGTTGGTTTCTCTAAAGAGAATTTGCAAAATTTCTCATTCCAATCTGGCTAAAATTTCTATTTAAACTCTGATATATAAACATTCATTTTCTTATCAATAGAGGTTACATCAAAGCATGAAATATACCACAGTATGTCCCCCAGATTTCTTAACTATGCTTCTGTTCGGCCTACTATAAAGAAGTAGAGAAATGAAGCAAATAAGTTTTGTATGTTTTTTAGAAAAGGGGATTGAAATAACTCTACTTCCTTTAATAACTGTAGATGTAGAATTAGTTGAAAATTGTAGATTTTTAAGTAGGGCAAGTGTCCTGAGAGTCAGCAGCCATTGCTCTTAGACATATTTTACTTATAGCCTCATAGGGAAATCTAAAGTTAGTAGATATAAAATTATCAGTAAGTGATACAAATTCTAATACTAATAACAGCCAAATTAACCTTGTGAAGGTAGCACTAAGAGCAGCTAGAAAAGGGAAGTTAGTTATAAAGGAAATAAAAAAGGGTACTAAATACAAAGCAGAAATTGTTAAAAACAATAATAGTGTAATGAACATTACACTATTAAATGAGTGAATTTAAATGAAGAATAAAAGGCTAGATATGCTCTAATCGAGATTTTTTTCAAATACAATAGTGTTTCAATCTGGTAATAATATAGGCTCAAAGAAGTGAAAAATCAAGAAACACTTAACGAAAATAACCAGTTAGCAAATTTAATGCTCAAGTCCAATTACCATATTCAAAAAATATCAAAAACCAGTGATTTATTTTAAAATCTTACTACAGTAACAAACACTCCTCTGAAATTTAAGGTATCTGAAAACAAATAATTGAACTCTGGGACAAAAACCTGTTTAGAATCTACGAACTTCCCACTAGAAAATACAAGCATACTGTTATTGGACAACATAAGACATGACATGATAAGCTTTATGTTTTAAGACCACACTAAAATAATTTATCCAAATGACAAAGATCTTAATCTAAAAGATGGTAAATAAATCATTATCATTATGAAATCTGGTTTTATGTGCTCTATCAAACACCTGGAGAATTTTTTTTTGCTTTATAAGGTCATATTAGGAGAGTGAAATGATTCTTGAAAGTGATGAAATTTTGATAGTATGAATTAGTAGAAAAATGCTCTATTATAAAATAGCATTATGCTACCTCTATTTAAAATTTTTTTTACTAACAATTGTGGACATTTTAAATGACACTCATTTATGTATGCTTTTAATGAATTAGTGTGTACTAATCAGTTCTTAATGAACTCTTCCCTACCCCAGTGTGAAATTACTAAACTTGGAGATTTACACATTTTACTGTCGGCCTTGATATTAGTCACTGTAGAGATGCTAAAGAATTTTGTCAAAATAAATGATCCATTGACCCTTTAAATTATCTTTAAAGCATTTTACCTTTAATGTAGTGTGATCCTGGATTACAGATTTAAAACATGTCTCTGAAAAATACCTTACTCACAAGGAAGTAATCTTCAGTGTGTTCAAAGACTATTTGCATCAGAATCATGTAGGTAGTTGGGCAATGGTTCTCAAACTAGGATGAATAAGACTCACCTGTAGGGCTTTGTTTAAACACAACTGCTAGCCTCTACTTCTAGAGTTTCTGATTTAGTAGTCTGGGGTGGGGCCTAAGGGAGGTTGCATTTTTAACAAATTCCCAAGGGATGCTGACTCTGTGTTTTGGGACCACACTTTGACAACCACTGCCATAGGGTATTTCCGTAAGAATGCATACTCCTGGGCCCCGTGCTAAAATCAGAACTTCTGGGGTTGGGGTTTTTAGGTCTGCATTTTAACAAGCTTGACGACAAGAATATGAGAACCACAATTTAAGAATCATGGTGACAATTTGGCTGGTTAATTTAATTTGACTATCACTGGCCAATGTATCAGATGTCACACATCATAGAAGTGAAAATGGAAATAATGTTAAATGACTAACCCCAAGCTTGACATGGTACAAATGAATACACAAGTTTTGAGTATAAATCCTAGCTCTGCTACATACTAGGCTTGTGACAGTGGAAAAGTTACTTTAATTCTTTGAGCCTCAGTTTCCTCATCTATAACATGGGAATAATACCCAATTTGTGAGGATTAACACAAATGTACATGGAGGATGTACACGGAGTATCTAAAAGCACAGTACCTGGCATATATACAGTACGCACTAGATAAATACTAGCTATTACTTATTATTATAAGAAATGTGTAAAATATTTCCTTCAGTATCTCATTTGATCAAAGCAGATTTTTCATTCATTTAAATGAAATATTTACACTCCAAGGTAACAGAGTGATAATGAAACCTTATAGTTATTGCTCCCTATTCTGGGCCAGTCAATATTCTAAGAGCCTTACATATATTAACTTATTTAATCCTCATAAAAATCCTGTGAGGTAGGTAGTATTATTAACCCTAATTTACAGATGAGAAAATTGAGACACAGAGAGATTAAGCAAATTGCTCAAGATTCAAAAATACTAAATGATGGTGCAAGAATTTAAACCCAGGCAGTTTGACTCCAGAGTCCAGGATTCGTTACAACATTAATTTCCTATGAGTAAATTTTAAGGTTTTTGGATGTTTATGATAAACCATTTATATTTCTAGTAAAGAAAAGTAGCATACATGGACCACAAATAAATTCATGTCCCCACCATGGTGAAGAGTTATTCAAAGGATGAATGCCTTAAATTTCTGGCAGATAATACCAACATGAAAACAACGAAAAACAATTTAATAGGTAAAATTGGTGTGTGTGTCTTCACTATGTGGACAGAGTAATCCATAATTAGCCACTGAAATGAATATCCTCTCAAATATACAATCCAAAGAGGTCATAATTTTGACATGTTTTGGCACAAATATAAATTATTCAGCTAAACAGCAGAGTCAGTGGTGATAAACATAAGAAAATGTAGATCATTTAACATTAAAAATAATCTTACAGAAAGTCTGTAAAATATTCTATGATACACTCAGTTGCTAAAGACAACAAAAATTAAACATTTTCTTTCCTTCCAGAAACTCTTTAAACAGGGAGTTGTTAAAATTAGAATGAAACATTTGTGAATGTGTTTTTGACGTCAGTCTCGAATGGGTATTCCTGCTTTGTTTGAATTATCCACTGGTAAAACAGTTATCCCAAAATAGTAAGTCAGGATCAAACTTCAGGCTATTATATATAAATTATTTGGACTTTTAATTATGACATTTTACTTTGTTTAAGCACTCTACATTTTCTAATGTTTTTAATTAACTCTGGTCAAAATCTTGCATTCAAAGTATTTTACTAGCGTAACTAATAGCCACCTCAGATCCTAAAAATGAATCTTAAAACTCGGTTTTAAACAAGGTATGAAAGGCACAAACAAGTTCAAACAAGGTATGAAAGGCACAAACAAGTTCTCATCTCTCAACAAGATGAGAATGAAAGGAACTATAATTATGTAGTTGGAAAGGGTTTTAAATCGTCAATTAAAAGTGTTATTTAGTAATTCCTGAGAGTGGCACTGATATAAGAAAAGCATCCCCAAACAGCATTAAAGTTACTATTTATTAGTTACCCATAATTAACAATGGGTAAATTTGGGAACAAAATATTTTTAAATGCATGTTTACAGAATGCTATTAATGCTTTGAGTAAATAAATATTAATAGTGGAGAATGGTATTCAAGAGTGGTTAAACACATTTAGAAAAGAGACAATAGGGACTCAGTAAAAGATTAACTACTAATTAGAACCAAGTATACAATATAGTCAAGGCCCATGATAATTTCAAAATGTGGTTTTATTAATGCACTTTAGGAAAAGTGCCATTTTTATTTTACCTTCTTCTGGAAGAAATACTGCCAATTATAAAGAATCACAGCAAAATTTTCATTAGACAAAAACTGTGTGTTCATTTATATCAGACTGCAAATATAAACTCATTTCTTGAGTTTATAAACAACATTGAGCAACAATAATTCCTTTAAAAATTTTAAGGCAGATCTGTTTAGCATCATGTGTGTGTTATTAACATGGTGCAGTGTAGTTTTAGCAAATTTAACTGTTTCTCAGTGACAATAATACACATGGTCAGGAACAGGCAACAAAATTTCTAGTTCCTCTACCTGGTCACCATTTTAAAAACACAAGTTCTTCATATTATATATTTATAAATTAATGTATCAAAGAAACATTTAAGCAGACTTCACAGCTCATTTAAAGCTTCACTTTACAGTCATTCGTATGAAAGATTTCTATATGGAATGTTCACTTAGAAAGAATTCCTCACTGGGATTCCAGTGTTCTATGTCAGAAATGCAGAAGTCCTTGTTCAGTGCAATGCTAGACATTTTACCTCTGTTCATTCATGTTTTCCTTTCAGGGGTTTCCTAATTTTACTTTTGGATCTTCATTTCTGTTTGCTTGACTTATTTCCTTTAGTATATTCTCAGGTAAGGCGGGTTGATATCTGTACAAATAACCATATGGACGAAGATGATAAACGAGGTATTCTAACTCATACATAGTTGTAGAATCAACATAGTGAAAAGAAACTGCAAGATCAGAACAGCAACCAGGACCCTAAAAAAGTAGTGGAAACAGGCATTGTTAATAATAAACAGTGCATTGTTTTATTTATTGTAACAGAATTCATTGTACATTATCTGTGGGGTACAGAGTTCAATATCAATACCCATGTGCAATATGTGATACTCAAATAAGGATAATTAATATATTCAACATCACACAATGTAATTGTTTTTCATGGTCCTTTACCAGTTCCTCCCTTATCCCCACCCCCCCTTCCCACCTCTGGTAACCTCAGTTCTACTCTCTCCTTCTGAAAGTTTAACGTATTATTGTGATTGTTGTATCTTTCTTTTTTAAAATTTATTTATTTTTTAGCTTCCAAACAGTGCACTATTAACACACAATATTCACATACTTATAAAGGACGCACTAATTTAAAAGAATTCAAGAATTAAAGCTGGTAAGGTAAAGCAGAGGAACCTAATTTATTATACCTGTGGAAGAAAACAGCAGTTCTCCAGAGTTTCTAATGATTTAAAACCAAACACGAAATTGTGGAAGTATTTCTAACTGAAACAATATTCTCTCACACTCCTCATTGTTTTAGCAGATAATACTCTTGAGACTTCTTCAAATGAAAGGGACAGCTACACAAAGGATAAGGCTCTATTTCTCCAACTTTTGCTTTATCTCCCTAATTTTCTCACTGTAATTTTTCTCTTGGCTCAGCGTAAGATTTCTCGGAGCATGCAGTGACTACAAAGCCTTGCCTACTATGTGTCTACAACCTAATACTTCATCTAAATAAAAACCCAAACAATATAATATTAAAGAGAGAAAACGCTCATGCCAGACCTGGGTTTGAATCCAAATTTTGCCTACTAGTATACGACCATGGGCGAGTTATTTAATTTCTGTAAGCTTCAATTTCCCCATCTGCAAAAGGTGATTACTTAAAAGGATATAATGTGTACAAAATGCTTGGGACTATGCTTTGCTTATAATAAATGCTCAATGTCAGCTACTATTGACAAAATAATCACATTCAGGTGGCCCCCAGGTAAATCAGTCAGCTTTAAACCTTTGTTCAGTAATATCATTCTCACAGACTCTTAATACGAATCTCATGGGGTTGGTGAGAGTACAGGTTTAGAAGAAAACAAAAAAGAAAAATGGTTAGACTGGTCCCAGAATTAAATAGTCATGAGGTCAATCTAGGATCAGAATTGGTGTCTGAAGAATATTTCATCCAGGCAGCTCCAACAAAACTTCTGACTCTACCTGATGTCTTTGCAAGGACCAAGGGAGACAATCTGGCAAGTTCCCAGAAAAGATTCATATTGGCCTATTACAATGAACAGTTAATTCACGTTTGGAAGTATCTATAGTGTAGTAAAAATTATCAAGACATTTTCTCTGCCCTTTGCTCTGAACTTTCCTTTGAAACAAACACTGGATATGTGGAATTCTTGGACAACCATATAGACTCTAGAAAACTATCTAGTGCCTACTCTTTATACCTTTAGGAAACATCAGAAAAGAAATAAATAATGAAAAACAACCAGATAAGTCAATTTGTGATTATCTAAACCAGCTCTGTCCAACGAATATGTGAGTCACATAGTATAGTTTAAAATTTTCTAGTAGCCACATTAAAACAAGTAAAAAGAAATAGGTGAAATTAATTTGAATATATAGGTAGAGCATCCCAAATGAAAAAAACCTGAAATCTGAAATGCTTCAAAATCTGAAATACTTCAAAATCTGAAACTTTCTGAGAACCAACATGCTCATGGAAGTATTTCAGATTCTGGGATTTGGGATGTTCAACCAGTATAAGGCAAATATTCCAAAATCTGAAACATTTCTGGTCCCAAGCATTTCAAATAAGGGATACGCAACCTATCTTTTATTTAACTAAAAAAGAAATCCATCATATTGTTTCAACATGCAATAAATATTTTAAAAATTATTAATGAAATCATTATTTGTCCTTAAAACCAGGTGTGAACAAAATAAATATATTTATAGCACATCTCAAATTAGACTAGCCACACTGAAAGTGCTCAACAGCCACACGTGGTTAGTGGCTACTGTACTGGTCAATGCACATTAAGCTAAAAGACTAGACCAGTAGCCGTTAATTTTAAATTGCTGATCCTCTTTGAAAGCAATTTTTCTATGATTGTGAAATATTGTAATATTTGTGATAAGGTTTACTGCATTAATTATGTTAGTCTATTTTTTTTTTTTTACTGGATGGCCAGGATACTATTATTAAGCATTATAAGCAATAAGTGACAATAAAAGATAATAGCTACATTAGAAAAACTTCCTTGCAGATGATTACATTTACCCCCAAAACTCAAGTATCAAGTGAAAAATAAAAAATACAGTAAAAGAGCCAGATTTTAAAGATGCTTTTAAAAAAAGTTTTCATATATACTAGTTAAAAAGATAAGTTTTTTAAAAAAAAGCTGAAGTAGAATAGTAACAAAAATATTAAATACCTACAGATATACATAAGATATAAAAATCTGAGAAAAACTATAAAACTTTACTAAAGAAACCTAAAAGACAACTTAAAAAAAATCCTGGGCAAAGATGTCATTGTCCTTAAACTGACAAGTTTATGTGCATGGATAAAGACAGGAGAGTTGCCAAAACACTCTGAAAGAGAGAGAGAGAGAGAGAGAGAGAGAGAGAGAGAGAGAGAGAGAATAAAAGGAGAGTAATACATACTCTTAGATTAATAACTTAGAAATATTGTGAAACTACAAGGTTCAAAACAATATGGTGCTGGACCAAAACCAAGCAGAACAGCACACAGCTAAAACCCCAGATATAGATCCTATTATAAGAAATATTATAGTGTATGATAAAGGAAGTATTTTAAATCAGTAATGAAAGTAAGACTCAGTTAAAAATGGTACTGAAACAATCAGTTAACCATTTGGAAAAATCAGGAGCTATCCACCTCAACCATGTACTATGTCTCAGATAGATGAGTTAATGTAAATGAAACAATAAAATAAATCATATTTGACTATTTCTGACCTTTAAAAAAGGTAATTTCACATGTAGAGTGATCTCTATATCTATATATGAATAATTACACATCTATTTTAAATCCACTGTATTAAGACTGATTGTAAATTCTGTGGTGAAAAGTCTATTACTAAAAGACTTCTAAGGAAGTAAGAAGGTTGTGTGGGAAGGAAACTGCATGAAGAGTCGGTTCTAAACAAGCAACTTAAGAACATAACTCTTTGATGAAATAGAATACTCTATACCCTAACGTTCTAGATAAAATTTTTCTATATTGTATTTTTAGTGACTATAGAGAAAAAGTGTATGTATGAGATTTCAAATGGCTTTGGAAATACTAACTCACTTAAGGAGAAGAAAAGTTATTAAATGAAAAGTGAATAAGAATACAATTCTGGTTGTACATTGGGTTTATATAGAACCTCTTGATGGAGAATAGGCAATGTTAGAAGGTGGGGTCAATTTTGGAACCTCAAATTCTGTTTTATAGTCTTCAACATAATTAAATAAATTTTGCAGGAAGAACAAATTTTGCCATCCATTTAAAAAACCTCTACAATTTAAATAAAAGATGCACTACGGAAATATAAGGGTGCTTCAAAAAGTTTGTGGAAAAATAAAATTAAAAGATAATATGAATCCTTCCATGAAGTTTTTGAAGTACCCTTATATTTATTTTGTTCACATAAAGCATGTTGTTAGGTGTACCCTATTCGTAAGAAGGAATTGTGGGCAGTAGTCTTAAAAATAAGGAAGAATACTGGTTATAAAATAATGACAAGTACGAAGTCCCTTTGTTATTTTATGTGTATACAATATCAGAAATGCTTAGTAAAACTATATTCATTTGGGTGTACTTGTTACATGCTTTGTAATGTTCTTCAGTTTGGGTATATTTTAATATGGGAAGAGGTGCAGAATTAAGAAAGAAAAGGTCAAATCATCTTGAAATGCTCAGAATATATTAAAAGTTTACATCAAGAAAGCATCCAAAGTAGTACCTCACTAAAACAAAAGAAAAATAGACTATCAAAAGGCAGTTTTATATTCTAAGGTATTATTGCAACTACAATAGCAATGAAAGCCAGTCTAAGGTTTTAAACAGTCTCACCACATAGCACTGAAATTAAAAATGTTCATTTATTAAAGTAGAATTTTACCCCAACAAGAGAATAATTATTCTAACATATCCTCCCCACCCCTTCTTTTTGCACATATTTCCCATTAATCATAGAGAGAAGCTCATGAGCTGTATAATGGAAATAACAAGAGCTTTCAGAATCAGAATGGTTTGCAACACTGCCTAGATTACTACCAGGATAGGCAAGTTATTTTAATTTTCTGAGCCTAAGTTTTGTCACCTATTAAATGCAGAATTACTGTAAGGATTAGCTATCATGTTTTTGAAAGTAGCAAGAACACACTGGTGGTTGGTAGCAGAACAGTAGAGATTTCCTTCAAAGTTGCCTTTTAAAGCTAATTATACAAAGCTTGGGTCAAATGTAATAGGCCAGGGTCTTTTAACCTCAGCACTACTGACATTTTGGGCCAGATAATTCTTTTTTGTGGGGACTGTCCTGTGCATTGTGGAATGTTTAGCATCCAGTGGATTTATAATCTTGTGGGTTTCTACCCATTAGATTCCAGTATAACCTCCCAGCTGTAACAACCAAAAATGTCTCCAGATTTGCTGAATGTCCCTTGAGGGGCAATATTACCCCTGGTTGAGAACCACTATTCTTGATGATGATTTGAAAGCAATAGCTTGTGAAGAACAGAGTATTAGCATGAAGTGTATTATTTATATGTTAAGAGTCAGAGAAAAGAAGACAGAGAACTAGTGACTTGCCTAAAGGCATTAATAATCAATAATAGAATTGATTCTAAAAGCTAGATTTCATGATTTCTGGTCTCATTCAGTTATTCACTGCAGCAATGATTATAATACTGAAAAACTAGGAAAAACTTACTAAATACGTATCAGGAGAATGAATATTATAGTATATTCATATATTAGATTATTACACAGCACTTTAAATTAATGAAACAGATACATATATATTAATGTTGATAAATCTCAATGTGTGAGAAGAGCAAATTATAGAAAGATGTATATGGTATAATTCCATTTATTTAAAAACATGCAAAACAGTACTATGTATTATTTGGATACACAAACATGTAAGAAGAATATAAGAACATGCATGGTAATGAGTAATATTAAATTCATGATAGTTGTTAATTCTGGGGAAAGAGGTAAGGGAAATGAACTGGGGAGGACACATAGACCTCAACTGCATGACATTTTTCTTTCTTTCAAAAAATCTAAAGCAAATGTGGCAAAAGAGTGATATTTGGTAAAGCTGGGTAGTAGATACAAGGTATCATATTATTCTCAAATATCTGTACACCTGAAATATTTCATAAAATAATGTAGTTTAGATAAAATTCTCAAGAATGTAAGCTAAGGTTTCAAATGAGAGCCAAGGCTTATTAAATGCTTGCTGTGAGAGAGGCTGTACTACACTGCAATTACAACTAAATGAGACAGGTAGACCACGTCCATTTCACAAATGAGGAAACTGAGACTCAGAAGTTAGACAAAGTTGGTTCATCCAAGGTCATTCAACTGTTAAAGTGGGAGGATTTAAACTTAGGTCTTTCTGAACCTCAAAATCTTTTCATGTGTTGTTCCTGATGACTAGAAGGCTTTTTATCCAGATCTTCGCAGAGCTTGCTAACATCACTCAGGTTTCTTTCAGAAGTCACCCCTTAGAGAGGCCTTCCTTAATTACTTAAACCAGAGTATCACACCCCACTGAGTAACTCTCCACCCACTTACTTGCCTTTTTCTTCAGGGTACTTCCTAAAATCATAATATCTTTATTAGTCTGCCTGTTTATTGTTATCTCATCCAGAATGTAAGGTTCATGAGAACTGGAACTTGGCTGTATTTACTTCTACATTCTCAGTGCCTGGCATATAGTAGAACCAATAGATATCTGTTGAATGACTATTGCTGATGTCCCTGTTCTCATCTACTTTGTTATACTGCCACTCTATATAAAAAGACTAAGGGAGAGTCCTAGTTTGGTACTAAAGAAACATATACATATTTGCTAGTTTTTAAAAAAAATCAACAAAAGTCAGTCGGTCCAAGTAATAAAATTTCTAAACTTACCTCTACAGGAGGATAATAATTATAATTCCAGTACCAAAAGGTTCTGGGTAGATAACCTTTGATTAAATGGTGTTCTGGTACAATTGATTAAATGGTTTTCTGGTACAGAGGGATGAAAAGTTTCTTTTCCAGTGGTATCTCTGGAATCTCCTGCTTCTACATTTATGATTTCCATGCATCTCCCCAGTGCTAAGTCTTCGATGGAGGAACTGTGTGTACATTTTTCTGTTTTAAATGCATCAACAAATCTCCTCAAGGCTTCTTTGCTTAGTACATATCCTGCTCCTCCACTCATGTAGCCCTGCTTTACATAGGGCTTGAATCTTCTCCCAAAGTAAATGGGTTCTTCAGGGTTATATTTTGAAAGAAGCCATCTTAAATTGTCTAATATGACATATGTGTCATCATCTGCTTTCATAAACCAATCAGCATCTTCTAAATAATGGTCATGAACATACTGGAAAGCTTTAATTGTCTTCCAATATAGTTGATCTCTGCCTTCTTTGGTTTTTAATCCCACAGTAGGGAAGTCTTTATTTTCTTCTGAACTCATGAACAACACTTTATTACAACGCTGGGCCCATGTAGCTTTGACGTGTTTGGCTTTTTTCTCTAGATTTTGAGGGCCTGTCATAACCCAGCATAGAATTCTAACTTTCTGATAGAGGTTCTCAGCGATGTTTGTGTTCTCGTCTATTAAACAAACATTTTAAAAAGTTATATTTATATAAATTCAAGTAAATTATATTAAAGAAAGCATTTTCTTAAATAGTTTTAAAGATCCTCCTTCTATTTACACATCTATCATTAGTGATAAAGCTGAAAGAAAGCAAAACTCAACCTAATGTGAGTCAACATTCTGATTTATTGGTTTCATGTCAATCTTATCCAACAGGTCACTGGAGCTAACAAGAATTGCCAGTATGACCAAAATTCTTACTACCTGAACTGTGTTTCACTGATCAAAAGCACCAGCATCACCTGGGAGTCGACAGAAATGGAGAATCTCAGGCCCCAACCCAGACCTACTGAATCATAATCTGCATTTTAACAAGTTCTCCTAATGATCCATTTGCACATTAAGTACTACCTTAAATAGTCTCTGGCAACTCATACTACAAAGAGCTTCAGTTGGTTTTCAAGGGAACACTGACAGTAATTTCTTACTGCTCTCAATGAGCTTCTGAAAGGCCATGTTACTGAAGTGGCAGTTGATTTCTGAAGCTCAGAAGAGTCCACTGTTATGAATTTCTACGAGTACCCTGAGGTGGCATCAAAAGCTTTCATGACTACCCCAGTATGAAGCACAGGAGTAAATGCAGGGTTGCGATTACTTCTGATAGTAACATATCTCCCTGCAAAATGCAAATCCACCAGTCAGAAACAGAACAATAGACAGAGATGGGATTTCCAAGACTGTATAGAGCAGTGTTTTTCAAACTACTGATCTGCAAAGAAATAAGAAGCTTATGCTGGGACATAAAGCAACTTATTACTTTTTCATCAAGGAAGGCTTACTACCAAAAAAAAAAAAAAAAAAAAAAGGTAAAAAAGTCCATTTAACTAAGCAGTGAGCTTAACCTGGTTCAAGCTCCTTATCTGGGTGCAGACAAACAATGCATAGGCTGACAGACCAGTACCACATTTTGAGTAGCACTGGTCTAGAGGAAGAGCCATGAGATTCTAGACCAGTTCTTCTCAAACTATGTGTCATGAAGGACCAATTTTTGTTTCTGATAATTAGAGGCCTATACTTTTGTAGAAAAATAAATTACTAGAATAATAAGACTAAAAGAAAACATAAAACACTAGCCCTAAGTTTTTATTTTTAGATTCACACAAAATTACTCTGGCAAATTACAATAAAAGTTTCTAACTGCTTACTCCCAATTTCAAGACTTATAAAGTTGTGGACCAGCACAAGTCTGTAAACCACACTTTTGAGTAGCAATGCTCAAGGCAGTATACTAAGCAAGCATACCCTTCAGGTGAAGGTCAGAGAGTGAATTACAAAAGCTCAGTCCTGTGAAAAATCAGTAATAGAGGTATATAATTAGTACTCCTTATCCACGGGTTCCACATCCACAGATTCAACCAACCATGGATATAGAATATTGGGGGAAAAAACTGCATATGCAACTGAACGTGCACAGTTTTTTCTTGTTATTATTCCCAAAATATAGTATAACAACTATGTACATAGCATTTACATTGTATTAGGTATTATAATTTAAAGTATATGGGAGGATGCACATAGGTGATATGCAAATACTATGCCATTTTAATCATGTACTTGAACAACTGTGGTTTTTGGTCTCTTCAGGGGTCCTGGAACCAATATCTGCAGATACTGAAGGACATCTGTAATTTGCTAGTTAACTGAGAAGAAACAGAAGGAAAGGCTGGGTGGGACATGAAAACATTCTCAGGCTACTCTGAATATCAAAATTCGCAGTCCAAAAGGACAAATGCAACAAAATCACCCTATTTTCAGTCAGGAAGCATTCACAGTTCATATACATGAAGAGCCCAATATCTTAGCTATTACAGATATACCAAACCCTGAATGGACAGAAAAAAATGGTGGATGTATGAATCCCTAATCTGTTTCACTTAGGACAAGACAGCTTTCTTGCCACTACTGGGATATGGTAGATGCTCTCATTCTTTCAATTACTCGTTCATTAATTACTTTGTACCAGGCTGTGCTGGCACAAGAGATGAAAAGATGAATAGGACACATTTCCTACCACAGAGGAATTCACAGTCTAATAGGGAAGTCTTAACATGCAAACCAGTAATTGCTACATACTAAGAGATGCTATAATAGAGGTTTGTACAAAGGGTTTAATGTGCTGAGGGAAAACAAAATAGCAGCTGATAAATCCTACAGAGCAGTGACTTAGGGACTTGAGTAGAACAGAGAAGAAAAGAGATAACGAAATACTAGGAAAAATCAGAGAAGAGATGATGCAGAAAATAGGTCTTTACATGAACAGAAGCTCACCAAAAGAAAGGACGAAAAGGCATGGTAAAGTTTGGTTGAGTACAGGCAACAAGAATATAGCTGAAGGCCTGAATTAGGGGAAATGCACTGTGGGTTGAGAGAAAATGGTATAGAAGTAGAACTGTTAGAATTTAGTGACAAATGGAATTGATTGATGTGTGAAGGAAAGCAGCTACCATGATTTCACAGTTTCTGGCTTAGGCAGATGATAATGAGCTATATAAAATAAGGAATATAGGAGGAAGAACAAGTTTTAGGCGTAGATAGGAAGAGAAAAATTCAATTTACACATGTTGAGTCTAAGAGGAATAGAAAGACTTTTAGCACACCCTGTATTTTGTGGGCCACTGAGCAGGACAAGTATGTATATAACGTATGTGCCTATAGTAAGACCTCATATGGCATACTAGCAGTAGGAAAGCCTGGTTCCAGCTGATCATCTGAAGACATGAAGCTATGCTACAGAGCAAGTGCACAGTGACCAAACTGCTCTATGGTAAGAATACATAGCACCTGCTCAGGGCTAAATATTATTATTCACATAACATGACACAATTTGTAACTATGCATGTGCTTGCTAGTAGATAAAACTCAACCAGGCTTTGATACCTCACAGAGGTAGAGAAGTAATTTACTATGAAAAGGATAAGAAAAACAACTCTTAATGGAGGACTCTCTGCATCTTAGAATTCCAATTGTTTTCAAGATGCTTGTATTCTTTTCTGTCTGATAACTCACAATTTGCAGAGATCTTGGCATTGTGTTAATATATTCTCAGTTTTTGTAACTGTGCTGGAGATAAAGACAGCCAGGAATAGATGGAAATGAAAATTGTGAGGGTTGATGACATTACACAAAGAGAGAGCTAAAAGGACAAAAACTTGGAGAAAACAACATTTAAGGAGTGTATGGAGGACTCAACTGAGAAAATCTGATTAGAGATAGAAGGCCAGGAGAAAATGAAGTCATTATAACATATCCTTAGTTTTTTTAAATTCCTTAGATCTTTATGACTCTCAAAAGGAGAAAAAATTAGTTACATTAACTACTGATAAGAATATAAATTGAGATTTATATATACCTCTTGAGTTTCTCTAGGAAAACAAGACTACTACGAAAACAAGACTAAGCGAAAACTATGACCAAACAAGACAACAGCAAAAACCGAAGACACAGATATAAACTGCGATAAAACTGAACCTGAACAAAAATTTTCAGAAACAAATCTAATCTGAAAAGTTAAACCTTTTCCCAAATCAGTTTCTGAACTGTTTCTACTTAAACTCAAAATTAATAACTTAGTCCCTAAATAAACATGGGTTTTAGCAATTCACTTCTCCTGAGGTAAACTGAGAATTATTATTATTTAATATCTAGAATACAGAACTCATTTGCAGATACAGACAGTAATATAACAAAATTCATATAACTTTTCCAATTCTCTCTCAACACTTAGACTGAAATACTGCTTATGTTTATTCCTTAATAAAGTAAACCATACCTTTATGTTGGCTAGAATCTGCATTGAAGTTCATTTGTCCTTCTAGATGATTCTGTCCATCATCATCAGAATGCCTAGCATGAGGATCATTATGAAGAATATTAGGCTGCGTGTCACCCTGTTCTCCCAACAAAATACTAAATAGCTGAGAACATAAAAAAAATCCTATTGCTGATCCACAGAGGAAGATTAAAAAATTCAGCCAAGACTTAGAGGCCATTTCCCGGAAGTGTATTTCTGTAAGAAAAAAATTAGCAGGATGTTATATAATTATAAAGCAATATACATATGAAGAGTACAAAGTCTGATAACGTTTGGCTATAATGAAAAGTTAATTCCTTCCACATAGGAGACATTTCTAAAAGCGTTTAACTTTTGATTATGTTTCCCTCTTTATCTGCTGCTAAACCAGCACGTTATGGACAATTCATTAGAATAGATGAGTAGTAAGTAGGATAATTACTGTTCAGGTGGAGCATGGGTAAATATGTAAGTATTTGCACACAGAATTTCCTATTCTTCCCATAATGATCTTCCATGGACCCAAGCCTGCTTGCCATGTTCATTTTCTTTCTTTCCTGTCAACCCTGAATACATAAGTCTGCTTTTCTCTCTTTTGGTAGCAATCACCACCTACTCTATTTTCCAACACAGGGTTAGCAAACTTTCTGTAAAGGACTATAAATAAAATACTCCAGGCTTTGTGGGCCACATATGGTTTCTGTTGCACCTTCATCATCATCATCACCTTTTTAAACAATCCTTTAAAAATGTAAAAACTATTCTTAGGTTGTGGAGGGCTAGGGTCAGCACAGTTTTTTGATCCATGAGCCAAAACTGGCCTGCCACGTTTTTGTAAATAAAGTTTTATTTGAATGTACCCATGCCCATTCATTTATGTATTGATTATGGCTGCTTTCACACTATAACAGCAGAATTGAGTAGGTGCAACAGAGACAATGTGTCCCACAACGCCTTACCTGGCCTTTTATAGAAGTTTGCTGACCGTTGCTCTAATACCCCAGCTTCACTGAAGTGTTGGATGTGGCCTCCCCCTGCTCACTGCCTTTCACTGTTGTCTTACTGGACTGCAGGATTCTGGATAGCATTTAATTATCACCAGGATTAAGCAGGGTGCCTGGGACACTGGCTGTTTAACAAACGCCTACTGAACTGCCTCACAACCAATCATGCAGACCCTTTTAAATAATTTAGTAATAATTAGTAAAGTTATAAATTCCTATTAAATTCCTGATAAGGTGGCCCTAAGTCTGTAGTTTCCAATTCCCCAATTTAAAAAATGAGTTTGCTAAGCGTCTACCATATGCAAGGTGCTGTCCACATGTTACTTCATTTTAAATAAAATTTAATTTCAATTTCATTTTTCATTCTCACTATGCCAATTCTGAAGATGAGAAAACAGAAAATTTAAATTTAAAAAATTTAACAGGAAACACACAGGGAGATGCAATCAAGAAGAAACACAATTCAAAACCAGGTCTGCCTGCTTAAAAAGCCAGTGCTCTTTCCATTACATTTTTCAAACTCTTCACCCAATCACCACTAACAGTAGAGGACAATGAACATGTGTAGTGAAGGTAGGGGTCTGAGAGATATGTGCCCCCAAATCAAAACTACTTTGAAATATTTTGCAAAAACAAAACACACAAATCAACAATTACCACTACAACAATAACAAAAATCAAACAAGTTTACACAGTTATATTTCCTGAATGGCTGATTAGGTTCTTTTAGACCAACTATCTGAAGACAATCAGAAAAAGTGAACAAAATGTAAAAAGAAAATATGTTTGAAGACAGTGGTAAGATATCAAGGCAGTGAGAATTAGTGGGGCCAAGATCTGGAATAAGAGAGAATTCAAGAGAGATGGACTGGACATCTGTCACAGATCTACTCCTCAAGACAGTTATTGATTCTGAAAGAAAATAGTAGCTGGGAGTCAATGAAGCTAAGCAAAAATCAAAGTTCAAAGTCTGCCTAGAAGAGATCCTGAAAAACACCCAGGATTTTATAAAGGACCCTGTAAGTCTACAATCTAGGAATAAGAGTGAAACAAAAATAGACCAAACTTTATAAGGACTAAGTCTTGGTTGAAAGCATTTCAGACACTGACTGGATGTTTAGGATGATCTGCACTAGCCTAACTACAAAAATATTCTGAAGAAATATAAAATAAAGAACCTCAAATTATCACCATAATTTTTGTGTGGTGATACACAATGTTCAACACAATAAAAAATAACCAAGCATCAAAATAAGTGTGATTGGAATAGAGAAAAAAGGAGACAATAGAAACAGAGCCAGAGGAGTCTCAGATAACATATTTTCCTGTCACTAGCTTTGAAATTACTGTTAATAACTACTGCTAATTTTTTAAGATAGTGAAAAAATTTGTAATATTATGTCTCTATTTTTAAATTTCATTAATTTCTGCTCATTTTATTCATATGATCTCTGCTGTTTATTATTTATAAAGAGCAGAAATCAATGAAATTTAAATCCTCCTCCTTGCTTAGGGTTTCTTTTGCTCTTTTTCTTGATACTTTATTAAGTATTAGTAAATAGAATTCAGCAATATAAAAGAAGAATTATGACCAAGTGGGTTTTATTCCAAAGATGCACGGCTGGTTCAATATTCAAAAACAACAGCTGCCGTGGATTGAATATCCCCCACCCAAAACTCACTGAAACTTAATCTCCATTGTAACAGTGTTAAGAGGGTGGGGAATCCTATTATGGTAACTGAAAGGGGGATCTTTTAAGAGGTGATTAGATTGTGAGGACTGTAGCCTTGCAAATGGATTAATCCATTGATTGTTTAATGGGTGGTCATGGGCATGGTTCTGAGGGCTTTATAAGGACAGTGAGTGAGCAGGTTAGCTCTCTTGCTCAGCCATTCACCATATGACACCTGGCATCACTGTAGAGTCATCACCAAGAACAAGATTCTCTCCAGATGTGTTCCCTGGTCTTTGGACTTCCCAGCCTTCAAAACTGTAAGAAATAAATTTTATTTCTTTATAAATTACTCAGTTTGAGGTATTCTGTTACAAGCAACAGACACATACTAATAAAACAGTTAACATTTTACTTAATGGTGCAAGACTAAATGCTTTCCCCCTAAGATCAGGAACGAGGGAAGAATGCCCACTCTCAACACTCTTATTCAACATAGTAGGAAGTTCTAGCCAGTACGATAAACAAAAGATAAAAAGTAAAATAAATAAAAAGAAAGAAATGAAAGGCATACAGATTGAATAGAAAAAACAAAACTACCCCTATTTGCAGATTTGTAGATAATGACCGTCTATGAAGAAAATCCCAAGGATTCTATGAAAAAAATTCCTAGAATGAATGAATTCAGCAAGGTTGCAGGATACAAGATAAATGTACCCAAATCAATAGTTATTTCCATATACTAACAATGAACATGTGGACACTAATGTCAGTCAAGTGATACAATACCATTTACAATCGCTCAGAAAAATGAATTACTTATGTGTAAAGCTAACAAACCATGTATGATAAAGGCTAACTAATGCTGATGAAAGAAATCAAGACCTAAACAAACAGAGAGACATACCATGTTCATAAATTTAAAAACTCAACACATTAAGATGCCAATTCTCCCCAAGTTGATACGCAGGTTTAGTCCATTTTCTATCAAAGTTCCAGTAAATTTTTTTTGTAGAAATAGACAAGATTATCCTAAAATTTAAATGTTAAGACAAAAGAACTAGAATAGCCATAACAACTTTGAAAAATAAGAAAAGCACTTGTGTCAAAGTGGTTTATTAGAAAGTATTCCCTGGAAAAACTTGCAGTAAAATAGGACAGGGGAGAGCAGGAAGCTAAGAAATGGTAATACACCAAGCAAGGGCCCACGGAAGGTAATTTCAGCTCAATCCATTAGGTAGCTCTGTAGACAATAAAGGTCATAACTCAGCAGTTCCCAATACAGCCAGTCATTGGTGAAGGGCTATCCTTAGGAAACAAACTTTCCAGATACTTCCACAGCATGTGAACTGGCAAGGAGACTCTGATATTGTGAGGGCTCTGATATTGAGAGAACCTTGAGAGCCAGATTTGGGAATGAACACTCGCCAGCAACCTGAGAGCAGGAAGAAAATACAGGCCTATGAACAGAGCATGCGCATCATCTTCTACAGTGATTTTAGAAAAGAGTAGGTTTGGATTAGCTCCTTGGAACTTCCAAAGGGTTGAGCAATAAATCACTCCTGGTAGATCATTCTACAGTTGAAGACCATTGTTGATTAGCCCCAATGATGTGTATAGAGATTTCAATTAGTTTTTTAGTACATACTCTAAATTATGAACAACCAGTTAAGAATCACCAGATATTTTAAGGAAAGCCTCTTGTAAGAAAGAAAAAGACCAGCATAGTCAACTTGGAAGAGACTATGCAATGAGATAAAAACTTAAAAACCAACAAAAACTACAACTAATATCCTGAGAGATAAAAGATACCATGTCATTGCATTCCATGAAATAAGAAGATATTAGTTTTTAAAAAAATCAGAGAAAAAGAACTCCTACAAATTAAAATACAAAAAATTAATAATCTCAATAGAATAGCTGTACTTTAGAAAAAGCTAAGGAAATCTTAAGTAAAAAAAAGCATTTATGAACAGTGTCTGCACATAACAAGCCTTTAAGCAACTGCTAAATAAAAGATTCATAGCAAAAAAACTAGAGTCAATAGAGTCTAGTCTATTGACTAGAGTCAATAGGGAAAATCATACAAACTAAGATATACCCAACCACTAAAAATTTTTTGAAGATTACATTTTAATATGGAGACATGGTTAGAATAAGTGAAAAAAATGCAAAATTTTATATACAATGTTATTCCAACTATGTGCTTTAAAAAAATAAAAAAGCTATCCTAAAAAAGAGTAGGGGAAAAAAAAAAAACCCAGAATGTTAACAAATGTTTTTAATTTCAGTGGCAGGATGAAGGCAGCTAAGGTTATTTTTCTTTCCTTATTTTTCCAAATAGAGTTTAGTTAGTACACATTACTTGAGCACCTGTCAAAAATTAATCTCAGGATCCCTTCAAATTCTTAATTAGTGAAGACCCCAAATAGCTTGTGTATGTGGGTTATACTTATTTATTAGATTTCTGTGAGAAATTAAAACTGAAAAAATTTTTAAGGCTTTATTTTTTAAAAGCAGTTTTAGGCTCACAA